GAAATAGTGTTTATTCGGTTCTGTTTCCCAAGGATTTCCACGACTGTCCTTATTTGGCACATGATAAAATTGTGCCCAAGGCTTCTAGGTGATGACAGTTGCTCACACTGAATATTAACTCAGTGTCAGAACCTCAAAATCAAGCCATTGTGGAAGTCCTATCTTCTAATAGTAATCTTTTCTATAAAGAGTTCCTGTTTACTTATTTTCACTTTTCACCAGTTCTGAGCATCTTTATGGGTTAGTTTTCAGGCCTTAACATTGTCATAATCTTTTAAAATGTGACTCATAACTAGATTCATGATGGCAAGCACAATACTGAGTGCTGAAGTTCCAAGGTCGCTGAGATACATATCCTGAGTAGAGGCATCTCATGGTTCAGGGAGTCATTTCAACCAATGATTTTTTTTCATGTTGTTATGAGTGTTGCAGGAATACTTATTTTTTCCCTACTCTGATTTTTATGAGAATGGAATTTCCTTAAATATATTCTCTTCTTTCTTTCCCTTAATCATTTTGCCTTTGGAGAGAGGAAATATCTTAGATGATTGGTACATTTGGAAAGAAACATCTGCTTTTACTTGGTGTCAAGTAAAACTATCCCTTTTGTATACATATGAATAAATCTCTGTCTCTGGGATCCCACTATAGGAACAGTGACAGGCACTCATGCTAGGTTACAGTGTCCAACTTGGATTTTATTAATCATAAAGCAGTAGTTATTTTGGGTACTTGTTTTTCACTCATCAGCTCTTTTTTTTTTCCATTTGTTCAGAACCTGGAACAGAGAAGATGTGTGCTATTTACTGGGGACTGCTTAGAGACTCCAGCACTTGGTGTTCTGACCACAGTAATGCGTGGACTAAAAGTAAAAGTCTTCAAAATAAGGGACCAAAGTATAATCTAGGAAAGCATTTGGATTACAAAGGCCACTCTGACCTTGGCAGTCCCCAGAGGCTTGTATCAGGTCAGGAAGACTTTTATAGTTGTTGTATTTGTTCACTTCTGACTGTTATCTTCTAAAACCATCCTCATGTTCATTTGACCTTGAAAATTGACTGTACATAAGAAGCTCATAAAAGCACTTGGCTATGCAGGTGTTCAAGGAGACGACTCGAGTGCTGTGTAAATGGACTAGGTCAATGCTAGACGGTCTTGTTTGTGAAGGTAGCCCACAGAGGCCTTTCTGGATACATACATTGGTGGCAGGAAATAAAATGCCAATATGTAACCTTGTCTCTTGCTTGCGCTGTCTCCCTGTGCAAGAAAAAAAGCAACAGTGTGGACTATATACCATCATCTAGACAGGGTTTCATAGTGGAGCGATAGCTCAGGTGGGTGCAAAAAAAAATGATATTAGGAAAAGTACTTCTTCAAGCTCTTTAGGTATAAGTATCTGGGTAACATTTGCTGTTTTGAGACAATAAAGTGCACTCTTGGCTTCTGCTGTACCATTTGAATACCAAGCACTTCCAATATCAACACTGGGTTTCGGGATGCAGGGTCTTTGAGGAGCTGCCCCAAATCCCATTCTGTACTTAGGGATTGGGGAAAAACAGAGGGACCGTGCTTAGGTGTAGATGCTTTGTGCTCTTAGTAGGCTTTGAGTTGGGTCTGGCTGTCTAATCATCTAGGTTAAAGGGATCCTCCTCAGAAGGCCCGTTTAGAAGGAAAGAAATCCACAGTGCTAAGAGGCCATGAACATGTGTGCTCACACGGATTCCTTGTGTTGCTTCACTAGAAAGAGCTCACATTCAGCTTAGAACTGTGAAGAGTGATTGAGTATCCTCACCCAAAGACGGAGAAAGAAGTCTTAGTAAGACAGGGTGCCGAAATTGCACTTTTCTAAATTTTCTCTCTAGAGGTGATAAGTTACATAGACAGACTCCTCTCCCTGATGTTAAAAGTGAGATGGTACCAAACTTGATCTTTAAAAGAACAGTTTCCGACGTCAAGAACACACGGTAAATGTGATAAACAAAGAAACAAAATTAACCACAAAAATAAACAAGCAAAACGTGTTATTGACTGACAGCAGCCAGGAGAAGGTAGAGCTACATAGAATTTCTCCATCATGTTTTTTGGGCATCATTAAGTTTCTTTTGCAGCCTTTGATTTCTCCCCCAGAGTTGGATAATGGATGATGTGTTATCTGTATTGTATTAGGTATGATAGCTTTTAAAATTGCTTTATTTTTAATTATGTGTATGTGTGTATGGCTGTGTGTGGTTGTGTGTAAAAGAGTTCAAATGCCCAAGGAAACCAGAGGCATTAGATCCCCTAGAGCTAGAGTTACAATTGCTTGTGATCTGCTCTACACGAGTTCTAGGAACTAAACTTATGCTCTCTGCAAAAGCAGTATTCACTTTTAACCACTGAGACATCCTTATAGTTCCCTGCACTATATATTAATATTGCTACATGAACTAATTCCAGGTTATCTGATATGCCAACAGAATATTATAGCTAGACCTACTAGAAGCAGATAATCCAGCATAGTTTGAATTTTCATACCTGTATATAAAGTATGTTGGACATGACTTGATTAATTATATGAGCCAGAATCTACTTTGAAGAAGTATCTGAAGTGTTCACCAGAGTCTGTGAGAGAATATTCCAAAATCCAGGCACTGCTCTTGGTAGAACAGCCATGTGAAAGTGAGAGAATCATAATTATTTTCCCTTTGGAGATAAACTCATACCCAGTTTGCTCTATGTAGATTTAGAAATTAAGTCAAAAATAGAGAAGAAGACTGAGGCTAGGGAACTGGAGGAAATGTTTTCTATTTCTGTGTTATCCATGAACTATTAAAATTATGCACCTGAGTATCTTGACTTCGTGTATGTATGTGCGCCATGTGCGTGCCTGGTGCCTGCAGAGGTAGCCAGAAGAAGGTGTTTTGTGAGCTTCCATGTGTGAATGGGAACTGAACCACAGTCCTTTGCAAGGGCAGTGAGTGCCCTTAATAGTCGAGACTTCACTCCAGACCTATGTGGGAGATTCTTAAACCCATTCTTTCCATGTCTGTGCACTTGGTCGGCATCTGCTTTTATATTGGGAGGTGGTGATAGTTAGTAGATTAGTTAATTTGGGAAGTCTAAAATAAGCTTGTTTAGTGAAGCATAGCTCCTTCTCTTGGGGCTGTACTGGCCACCAGCAGCCATTTCCCTCTTCTCTCACAGAGCAGGATTTCTTAGGGGCAGGCTTGACTGGTTGATTTGTTTCAAAGCCTTTCTGGGAGCAGAGTACTATTTATTAGAATGCCCTGGTTATCTATAGAGTAAGTGGTGCTATTACAGATCTGCTTAAAAGATGGATTATCAGATTACACTCTTTTTATGTAAATGCAGCCTCAATTCTAGTTGTTAGTTAAGACTTTCCAGTGGATTTATTTTGTTTGGAATTACTAAAAGGTATTATAACTCAGTGGCTACAGATGCAATACATTGTTGAAGGCTGTTCTCTAATTTGGGAGTCTGGCATGCGCTTGCTGGAGTCAAAGCAATTGAACAAGCCGAGGAGACAATCCATACTACCATTACATACACAGGATAATAAAAAGCATGCTGTGAGTTTATTTTACAATTGAGTGTACGGCTGCAGCTAGATTGCTCACTACGGATTTTAACATAGCTGAAAATCCATCCTCTGGAGAGATTTTTTTTTATTCCTCCTGAAGATTCCATGAGGTTCTTTGACTGTCTGGTCCTCTTCTTGTGTGCTCTTTTTCATTTTTATGCTGTCTTAGCTTATCAATCACCATTACTCATTAACTTATATAGTAATTCTATTATACTACTGTGTGGATAAAGCCTCTCAACTCATTTTCTTTGTACTTGAAAATATGCATTTTTACCGTTTCCTTAGAGATAGTAAAGAGCCTGAGTTTGGAACTGAATAATGAGGTTCATTTGGTTTTGCTTAGGGATGTTCTTGATAATTAAATACTTTCTATAACTTAAAAATTGAAGTATATAAGATACCAACATGGCCACATTAGATGATATGTTTAAATCTTATGTGATTTTTGTTTTGTTCTGGTTGTTGCTAAGGTCAGTAACTGGACTCTGGAATCCTTACCAAGGTAGACTTACCCATCCTTCTTCACTAGGATACTGTAATTGTCAAATAATAATGAAAACCGGAGACTTAGTCAATGTGACCACATCAAAAGAGAAACAAAGAGGTGTTGTGACACTTCACTCTCCCCACTCCATCTTTCCTGTCCTGATACAGTTTAGTTTTAAATAGAGGTTAAAAGATACACACATTTGAGCAGTCTTGTCTGTCCATCATCATCTGGACTTCATTTTCTCCTGGAAGGTGGTCTGATGTGTTGTCAGAATTGTGTGAAATCAGAGATAAGTTCCTTCTCTGGAATCAGCCTCAAGCTTTTTCCTTCTCCCTAAATAAGAGTCTGGGGGACACTAATTCCTCGTAGCCCATTGTCTCAATAGTTTAAGAGCCAAAGGGAGTGGTACTAGTGTCCCTCCTTAGATCATCTCCAGTGCTGCCACTGCAGTTACGTGGTGAGAAGCATTTTCGTTCTTCAAAGCCTAAAACAGAGCCCAGTTTCTCAGTTCCTTTGTGGGCAAAGGTGACCTCTCCAGCCTTCTAAACTATGCAGTCTGTGAACTACTTTGCCCACTCTTGACAGGGAAAAAGAGGGTCAAAACTGTTTCAAAACAAAAAGTTTTAAGCTAAAACTTATTTTTTAATAGAAAGTGCATATTTTTATTTAAATAAGATCCAGAGGGTTGTATTATTAGATTTTCGTAGGGGGTCTCCGGTTAGTTCTCTTTCTGTTCTGACTAGGACAGGCTGGGTCCCTGAAATGTTTAGTCAGGGTATTTAATGTCTTGCTTTTTTTTTTTTTTTTTTTTTAAAGAGAAGTGAGCCATTTTTCCAATAGAGGGCAGTGTTAGCTAAAACAATCAGCATTCACCAAGGACAGAATTTGGAAGTGTCCTCTGCAAGGCGTTGAAAGGACACGGGGAAACAATTTCTTTCTTTCATTCCTGGGTTTGTAGCTTTGACCACAGTTGCCATTTTTAAAAAATGAAAACTATATAAAAATTCTCCTAACTGTCCCTGACCTCCAAGGAAGAAATTGAGAAAATAAAGGCAACATGCGTAGAGGGAAGGTTCTAGTTATCCTGACTGGAGTGTGAAAAAATCCTGACCATTGCTATTATGGTGGTGCTTGGCTTTGAGATAAAGGAAGGTCTATGAGGAGGTACCACAAGCTGTATCAAGGTGGGATTCCTTTTGAATATTTTCTGAATGTGTTTGATGCTTCTGGTTTCTGATGGAAAAAGAGCTTGGTTCAGTTTGTAAATTGGGATATCCAATTTGGCATACTTGACTTTAAATATTAAAAGATGCTCAGTTTTCAGAGCTGAGTTCTGTTACTATCTTCTTAGACAGGAATCATGAAATTATAGCTGGTTAATGTCAGGAAACACATATTTGTTAAATGTTTACTTGGTATATGGAATTACAACCATAAGCAATTTATCCTGTGCAATTTTTAAGACACATTTGAGAGGCTGGCAGAATTTACTTTTTCTTATCGAAGAAGAGTGGGAGAGAAGTTAAGCAGCATCAAGTCTCCCAGCTGGTGGCAGAAGTAAGGACTGAACTCAAGTCTCTGATGTGAAAGAACAGACTCATTCACCTCTCTAGACTTCCTGGCTTCTGGCTAACAGACTGGCTCTGGGGACTCTTGAATCTTTGAGTTATTGCAGTGCCCAATGATAGAAAACGGTGCTTCAGTGTATAGACAGACATATGTGTGTCAGTGGTCAATGGTTTTCCTCCCTACCGTGTGTGTGTGTGTGTGTGTGTGTGTGTGTGTGTGTGTGTGTGGTGGGGGCGT